GATCTAGACTAAGAAGCTGAGGAACTCGGTGAGTATATGAAGGGACTCAACGAGTTGACTCATTTTGTCCTGAGTCTGTACTAGATAGAAGTCGGTGAGTATGCGATGGGGCTCGAAGTGTTGACTCAGTTATCATGGGTCTGATAGCATAGAACTCGGTGACTTAGCAAATAACTCGGCAAGTTGGGTTGACTGGGAGTTAACCTTGACTTTAACCTTAACCAGAGCGTTGACTTTGACCAAGGGTAAAATGGTCATTTTACCCTGAGAAGGATTTATAGATCTTGACTAAGTGTTACTGTGATTTTGATAGCCGGGGAGACGTTGGAGCAACTATCAGATATTCCTCGCCACGAGATTTCACTGACAACTTTGTGATGTGAGTTTTCCTCCAGTAGGAACGGGTCGAAGGAACCAATGTTGGCCCGTTTATGTATTAAGATTATGTCGGACTTCGGTCTGATGGCGGTGTTAGTCTGATGCACATTATATGTTTCCGAACTTCGGTTTCATGTCGGGGCGGTCCTGAGAAGAGTATATGTATGCTTGATTTCTTTATGATTCATGCATGTTATGTGGTATGTGTTTCAGGGCAAGCCTGATGCATGTTAGTTATATGTTATATGTTATGTTATGTGTATATGATGTATGATATGTTGTGTATGTGCCGGGGTAAGCCCGATGCTGGGGTGAGCCCGATGCCAGACGTGGTCTGATGCCGGGGTGAGCCCGATGCCGAGTAAGAGTCCGATGCCGGGTTCGTCCCGATGCGGTTGGGCAGTGTCCCATAGTTGTATTATCTAGGGATGTGCAGGGGTCAGTTTGGGTCGGTTTTCGGCTAAAACCAAACCAAACCGTAGAAAGTCGGTTTTTCGTTTTTTAAACCCATATAGGTTCGGATTTTGCATGGGTCGGTTTTTCGGTTTTTTGGGTTGGGTTTTCAGTTTTAAACTGTGGGTTTATGAGCTCCTATTTTGTGGGTTCAAACCTAGTGAAAATACGTTGCCATAAATAGTATTTTATCTACTTTAAATATAATAAAATAAAGAGTACGGATTCTATTATTATAAAAGCATAAAAGTGTTCAAAAGATCAAAGTTTAACACCATTAACAGTTTGTTGAAAATAAACATAAAGTCTAAAACTAAAAGTTTAAATCATAATATAAATAATATATATGTGGGTCGGTTCGGTTTTTATGGGCGGTTTTATACGTCAAAACCGAACTAAACCGTTATTTTTCGGTTTTTGTAGAATTCAAACCTAAACCGTCGGTTATTGCTTTGGTTTCGGTTTTTCGGTTTCGGTTATGTCGGTTTTTTTTTCGGTTTTTCGGTTCGGTTTTTGCTCATCCCTAGTATTGTCTGTTATATGTTATATGTGTATGGTATGTGGTAGTTTGGGGGAGCTCACTAAGCTTCATGCTTATAATTTTCAGTTTGGTTTCAGATACTTCAGCTAGCAAAGGGAAGGGCTCGAGGCGATCGCATGGCACACACCACAGTTTCTAGCCTGGGATATTTACTCTAATATTTGATACATGTCATGATACATTGACAGATTTTTATGATGTTTTGCATTAGACGACTTATGTTTTGATGTGAAGTTTGATACTCATGGTTTTTGGTAATGATTTTAAACAAAATTTTTGGGTTGTATTTTTGGGATGTTTCACACGCTTTCAGTTTAATGTGTACTACAACTTTCATTTGGATCTCTACGGCTAAAAAGTAGTTTATCAAAAATTCACTTTTTACGTTACGCGGTGTTGTGCCGTAAAGCTTCAACGAGCCATAACCTCTTCATTATAATTCGGATTTCGGCGTTCTTTATATGTACGGAACCCTTGTGACATATACTATAACTAGGTTAAGATTATTCATTCAAAATAATCTACCACCAAAAAGTCATTTTGATAGTTATTGTCTCTAAATTGACTAACCCGAATCTGCTGGCGTTACACCAACCATATGACAAGATATGTCATGAAGTTGATCGATAGAGAAAGCATTCAACCCAAATCCTGGAAGAGTAATGGGAAAATCGGGCGTCGAATTCATCGGGTCCACATGTCGGTTAGGGACCACACCATCCACTAAAATAGACTTGAGAGAGATATCACAAGCCAAATAGGATATCCATTGAAAGGCGTATTTACTCCCGTCTACAATAATAAATGAGCACAGAGAAAACACCAGGAGGTAGAATTTATATCAAGATATTACCCACAACCAGGGAAAGAGAAGACAAAATAAATTGTGCTAAATCTAGTAAAAAGATTAGACAAACCGACATGACATACAAATAACACTGGTAGTTGACAACGGGCTTTCTAGCATGAACGCATATGACACAGAGCAAGTACAACTTCTGGCAAACACAAGTTATGTATGCCCACCCAACAGTACCTACTTTTCTAGTTCCCATTAGAGCTAGGTAAATTTGGATAAAGAGGAAAGTGACGACTATTGAAAGAAAACCAGTCACCATACTTCTTCAAGCGGTAAAAAAAAGCGAAACAAGGAGACATCAAGTGGTATCTCATGAGAAACAAAAAAAACTTCGAAAGTAACAATCTTTGACACTGCACTCGGACATAGCTAGCCAAAATGAAATTTATAATAACAAAGAACTTTCAAGAAGAAGCGAGACAGGGGTAACTGTAACCCACATACAAGACGTTGAAGATAGAAACCAATCTTACCAAGCAGGACATCAAGAACAGACAAATATGAAGATGGAACTTGGAGACCAAGTACGTGAGAAATGTGATATTCATGAGTGTATTGCTCCACCATGCAACAGTCCACTTCAAACGCAGCTACAACTGCAGATATGTCATCATCCATACCAGTCGCAGTGATGGGAAAGTCAAAGGGAACGCAATGTAAAGAAGTTTCTACAAGAAGAAATTAGGATTAACCAATAAATAATCAGAGGGATCAGTTAAAGCATATATTAAGGGCAATCTAGTCAAAGCAAGAAAGATGACATGCGACAACGCAAGCATTTAATGCACATCATGCGAAGGATTTTACAATAACCGATATGGATTTACAAGTCTGGACGGCAAAAATATTTCGGAAATATTCTTTTACTCTTCAGACTGGGGGGCTTAATGGTGTACCAGGCCATTAGTTCAAGGAAACCCATTACCGACCCGATACTCACCAAATCGGCGCTATAGGCATTGCCACTTGCTTCGAACAAACATGAATTCGAATACATCGTACGCAAGCCTCGAAATTGTATCCTATGAAATATGCAAAATAGTATGAAACAAATAAAATAAACAAGGAAAGAACAAGAAACACGCCTGCTTGTAGACCATATAATAAGTGGAAGACCGGTCAAGGATATGGGCTTTTCTAACCATGCGCATCCTATAAATACTCCCCAGAGACATGATAACCAGGGGATGTAAGTAAGGAGAACATATATTCCTTAACACTAAAGCAACATTAAGAGTCATAATATAACTTAGACATCGGAGAGATATATCGGGGTCCGACCCTTGGTATGGTTGTCTGACCTCGCTCTTGTTTATCTTACACAAAGTGAATTATCGGACGCTTATTGGACCATGAACCATTGGGTTGAAGAGCTAAGTATGCGACTGGAGTTCGCCGTACTAACAATAGATAAATTATTCATGAACAAGTGATAGACTAGGACAGAAAGATTAATTTCCATTGAAAGACATATATCTTAATAGATAAATTTATTAATATTGAGAAAGATAAATTATGATAATGAGGGATATTGATGGATTAATTGTGAATTAAGAGATAGATCATGAGAGAGAGAGAGAGAGAAATAGAGAGAGAGAGAGATCATTGATTGGGAGAATAATCACGATTGCGAAATAGATTAATTGCAAAAAGATAAATTATTAATTGATGAGTATATTCCGAAAGAGAATTAGATTATCACGGAGAGGTTGGTTATGATAACACCCTTAATTACATAATTTTATTGTTACCTAAGTGAGAAATAAGTTATAATGTGATTTATATGATTTATCTGATTATGTTTTTGGTAGTTGTTATTCACTAAGCCGTGAGGCTTATGTTTTTATGATAATTTGTTTTGCAGGTTTATATTTGTGACGCCCGAATTATCATGGACTTGAGATCAATACGATAATTGTGATAACTACTTGTATTTCAGAGTACACTAAAACTATTCTAAACTTTTAAATGATAAATGATTTTTTGGTGGACTTTATATGAAATCCTGGGCGTTACAAACGGCATGACGTTTTTCTAAAGAAGTTCTTAAAGTCCAATATTTTGCAAACCACAAGGACCAATGATGAAATTTTGTCTAATATTTTTCTCCAATGTTGAATATCATAAACTAACTCATCAATATATTTTATTTTAGTAATATATTAACTAATTTAAACATTATTTGTTTGAAACTCATTTTAACACCAAATAAACCGATAACACTTAAAAGAAAAACATAAGTTTCTTCAAATAAAAAAATTAAGGTTGCGTTTGGTTGTGAAAAACTATTTTCATTTTCCAAAAAAATATTTTCAAAAACTAGAAATAATTATCATTTTCGATTTTCAATAAAACTTTTAGAAAACAAATTTGATTGGAACCAGTTGAGTTTTTATTTTCCATCTTAGAAATTTAGCAAATTATAATAATTACTTTTTTAATTTACATAGAATTTGAAAAAATGACAATTTTCATTTTCTTAGAATTTTTGAAAAAACCGAACAAATCAAACGCGTTTTTAAAATTTATATATATATTATATATATATATATATATATATATATATATATATATATATATATATATATAATATATATATATATATTTTTTTTTTTTTTTTCTTGAAAACTAGAAAATTTTCGAGAACTCTATCCTAAATACCCTTCTATTTTTTTGCTATTCACATGATACCCATTTAAAACAAGTGTCCAAACTCCAAAGTACATTTGTAATATGGATAACATGGGAAAATATGAAGGTATTTGATTTCTTAAATAAACAATAAATACTATTATAATTGTTTATCAAATACATACTTAACTATTGTCTCTTCTGTTTTCTTTTGCGCAAAGAAAAGGTTGAGTTTTGACGCAGAAGGCAAAGAAGAAAAAGCCCTTGGTGTAAAAGAGTAAAAAGGGTCACAGACAACCAAAAGGAGCGAGCAACCATGGCAGCAACTTCTCAGTTCACTAGAAGTTTCACCTCTGTTTCTCTATCTCCCACCGCTCTCTACCATTTCCCTAATTCACCCTCTTGCCTTTCGTTCGTCAGCAACAAACTTTATTCCCACAAAACCTCATCAAGAAGAGTTTCGTCAATCAGAAAACATGGTGCTTTTAAGATCCATGCTATGACCGCTTCGTTTGGATCTCGATTAGAAGAGACCGTGAAGAAAACCATCACCGATAATCCAGTTGTCGTCTATTCCAAAACCTGGTGTTCGTAAGTTATTTTGGGTTTTCCGTTTTGAGATTGAAGTTTGGTTCGGCTAATTTAAAATTGGGGTTTTTGTTTTTGATTTTGATTGTGAAGGTATTCTTCTGAGGTGAAATCTCTGTTCAATCGGCTTGGTGTACAGCCACTCGTTGTTGAACTGGACCAAATGGGTAAGTGACCTTTTGTTAATATTGGTGGTTTTGTGATAAAAATTAGCGATTATATGCTTAATATGTAATCTGTGTTCATGTATATTAAGGGAAAATCAATTGTTTTCCAAATTAGAACACATAATTGGATTGAGGATTTTGATCGGAATGGGCTTTCAGTTTTTGGAGGTGCTCTAGGCAAATTCATTTAATCCTGAATCAAATTTCGTGCAAGTTTTTGGTGCATTTAGCTGCTGTAGTTAGGGTTTGGGCTTTCAGTTTGTGTTTCGATACCATGAAAATTAGTAGTTGGTTGGTTTAAGTTAGAGACTGTGTTGATCACTTAATCTCACATTTATCCCAATAAACCTTTCTTACAAGTCATTACACGTTTCGTTCAAATCTGATCAATCATCTTATCAAACACCACATGTCATATGCTTGTTATTATGGGGCCTACATACCCTAACCAATCGATCTCTTTTATTTAAAAAAAAAAGAAGTAAACAAATCGCGATTATTAATGTTTGCAAATATTTTGTTACAATTTGGGAACACTGAAGATGGTTTTTTTTTTTTTTTTTTTTTTCAGGTGCCCAAGGACCACAGCTACAAAAGGTCCTTGAACGACTTACTGGTCAACATACAGTCCCAAATGTTTTTATTGGTACGTAGGAAGGAGATGCCATAAATGTGTTCATTAGTTCCATTTATGGGCAAAATACAGAAAAACTTTTTCCATTATATCAGTTTAAACTTAAACTAGCCACTTAAAATCTAATTTGGTCATTTCTATCTTTCTCAACAGGAGGCAAACACATAGGTGGTTGTTCTGGTATATGATGATCTTTACCCTTCTCCCCTTCTCATTTGTTGGATTATATGATTATGTTCCTTTTGTTTTCACTATTTCTAGATAATGAGGTAATTACTATGATTGTAAGTATGTGATGGATATGTCTTTCTTTGTTGCAGAGACTGTCAAGTTACACAGAAAAGGGGAACTCGAAGCTTTGTTGGAGGAGGCAAAAAGTGCATAAACCGTGTGGCAATGTGATGTGATGTTCTTTTTTACTCCACATGTTTTCGTCTTGATTTTCATTTGTTAATTTATATGATAATTTGATTAAAATGCTGTAATTGATTGTGATGATGACAATTTGGATGTGTAATTGATAATTTTTTTTTTTCTTAAAAAAAATATAGGAAGATTATAGGTTTGCTAAGAATGTTATATGAAATGTGAAAGAGATGATAAAAGGGTTAATAGCAACATGACCAAAATGGGAGGAGTGAGTATACAAAATGGCCGCATTTTGAACAAGTAAATAAACGTTCTTTTCAAAAAGTAGACATTGCAAAACTACTTTGTCATGAAATGTGTTTTGTGAAATGATATTGTCAATTGCAAAATAGGAGAACGTAATTTCTGTTAAAGGTTTTGGTAATTGCAAAATAGGAGAACATATTTTCTGTTAAAGGTTTTGGTAATGAGCATTATAAATAATTTAATTTTGAAAAAAATAATAGTTTTATAGATAAATGATTATCAAGTTATGGTTATTTTGTCTAGTCACGTTTTTTCTTGGGAAAATACAGCAAAAAAAAAAAAAAAAAAAAAAAAAGGGGGTCAATTTCTAAATTTAGTCATAAAAATAGATTTTTCTGGCTATAGACATACATTCCGAGGAGGACCCTCCGCAGAACCATGAAATCTCCGCGTAGAGGGGGTAATTTCGTAATTTCAACTTTTTTTTTTGAGAAAAACGTAGGGGTCCTCTTTTGGTCCCCAGTGGTCCTCATTTGTGTTTGTCACTCCGCATCACCTCGCATAGTCAATCATCGAAGACTTAAAATCCGGCGGAATACGCCATCAAACGACTTCAACTCCGGCGGAATACTTCGGAGAAATCGAGTATAAAGCACTTGAAATCCATCACCGATGGACCGCGACTTCCCCGATGTTATGGCTGATGGATACGGTTCCCGAGTATTTCTCACATTCCCATCTAATTATTAATGTCGAAATTGTCGAATATGATTCAAATTAGAGGAAAACGAATTTTACTACATTGAATATGTATACAATTTTATAATTTTTAGGTTTACAAATCACAGGAACAATTTTTGGGATGATCTATTTGTGGAGGGAGACGTCAGTCCGCAAAGGGTGCTCCGCGGAGTGATGTGCTACCTCCGCGGAATGTTATAAACGAAGAAATGCAGGTCTCCGCAGAGGCTAGAGGTCACTCCACAGAGATGACTCCGCGGAATGACCTCTGGTCTCTGCGGAATGACATTAAAAATGTTTTTTGCACAATTTCTATTTTCTACTTTTGCTGCCTTTTTCTTTTGTGTATTTAGTTATATATAAAAAGTATGTTGCTATTTATTTCATAAACCGAATTAGAAAAGTAATTTTGGAAGCTTGTTTTTTTTATTTTCAATTAGTAATGTTTTAAATGAAATAACATTTTTTTGTTGTGTAGCACGAAGATCTCAATCAAAACCGGATTTAACTTTGAAAGGTGTTGTGAGGACTATCATTAAAGACTATTTTCCGCGCCTAACACAATCACAATGAGTATTATTCGAAACTTACCTCATTGGAATATTCTTAGGAATGCATAGCCCACATGATAATCCCTTACTTGTGCATATGATGATGTTGCATGAAATAAGGAGTCAACAAATATTTGAAATGGGGAGGTTTCTGTTTGATATAGGGGATCCAGTTGGATTTTGGTGAAACTGAATATATTCTCATTTGTGGTTTAAAAGTTGGTCCTTATGTGGATTTACTCCATGACGAAAAGGCTAGTCAAATTCAAATCTCCGTGCTCGGTTGTTCCCATATATTTTTGATGCACGGTTGCGGCTGAAAGATTTAGAAGACTTGATTATGTCCCCGAATTATTTGGCACTACAAGATAAATATATTGTGATGCTTATCCAACTTGTTTTTTTTGTTGAAGGGTCTACACGGACGGGACGTTAAAACGAGCATTCCTGCAGCAGTATACAAGCTTGCTGATAATATAGATGATTGGAACATGTATTACCTTTAAAACAAGCATTCCCGCAATAGTACACAATGCACTAATTATAATAAATAAATTAAAATTGCAGGTTTGCATGGGGTACGTATTTCTGGAAATATACTTCGTGTATGATGCGTGAAATGTTTAAGAAAATAAAAGATTTTAGAGTATTGAAGCAGGCCAATCCCAAATCGAAGAAAGTACACACGTATACCGTTCCTGGTTTTATGCTTCCGTTTAAGGTTACTTTATAATGCATTTAAATAGTTATCATTGTTTAACTTTTTATACTATAAAAATTTGAACTTCGTTTTGATTTTCTTAAAATAGTTGATACCATAATGTATTAAAGATGCAACATATCCTTAGAGGCAGTTTTCCCTTAAGCTTTTTTATACTAATTCTCATATTTGCATATTGAATTTTTTTTGTCTGTGGGGTCGAGGTCCTCTCTTTTGACAGGGCATTCTGAGCTCTGTTTAAACTTCCTTTTTTTGGTACTAAAAAAGACTTGAAGAGAAATATGATATGATCCCTTCTCTTGAGGAGCTTCATGTTTTAGAATCGGAATGGTTTAAGGTCAATGTTATTGTTGTTGATATGCATAAAGATAAGAATGTGTGATTGTTACAACAATTGACTTTGACTATGGCAAAAGTGTAACATCCCAAAAATACGAGCAAAAAATTTCATTTTTGAAAACATATACTTAGCAAAACATTAGTAGTAAAACATACACCAACCACATCATTTCATAAAAGTGTGCGTGTCTAGAAAACAGTTTATAAAAAAAACATAACAACGTCAGAGTACAATCCCCAGGAAGATCTCATGGTGCGGAATACAAGCGTGTGTTTGATGGGCTGCTACCACGCCGGCTCTTTCCCCTTTGAAGAAGAGGTACCTGAAACCAAAACTGAAAACTGTAAGCACGAAACTTAGTGAGTTCCCCCAACATACCACATACCATACAATCACATAACATACAATATATTGCCAGACATATCTGGGTGCCCGACCTACCCCTTCGGTCCTCTCAACCGAATACATACTAGTCTATCTGGGAGCTGACCTCCCCTTCGGTCCTCTCGACCGGATACTAACTAGCATATATGGGTGCTGGTCTCCCCTTCGGTCCTCTCGACCGGATACTGACTAGCATATCTGGGATTTGGCCTCCCCTTCGGTCCTCTCAACCGGATACTAGGGACTATTTCACCCCCTACTACTACCACATAACACATATATCACATAATCTATCTAGCATGGCTGGGCATGATCGCCCCTTCGACCCTATCGACCATTATACGGGGGACTATCTCCCCCTACTGTTATTAGCACATATCATCATATCTTACTAGCACATTAGCATATCACAGGTAGTAGCAATCCTAGATGAATATCACAGAGACAAACATCTATCATACAACCCTACTGGTGGGCCGACATTGTGGCCTTAGACCCACCGCTACTGGAAGGTAACTCACCTCGTAGCTGCTGATCTATGTGGGAATGGTCTGTCTGCTGCTGCTGCTCCGGAAATCCTCCGGCTGCAATTCCCACCAAACACTTAGTTAAAGTCAAAGTCAATTTCCAGTTGACCCGACTCGCCGAGTTGGCTTGTCAACTCGACGAGTCCCTATCCCTTTATCTGACCACTAACCCATCTCTACTCGTCGAGTTTGGCATTGACTCGACGAGTTTTCCTTCTAAGCTGATGACCCAACGATCTTCATTCTACTCGCCGAGTTGTATGAACAACTCCTCGAGTTCGTCTTCATCTAAAGAACACTCTATGCTTAGACTCGCCGAGTTGTATGAACAACTCGCCGAGTCCGTTCTTGAGGCATGAAGATTGCCTTGAACTCGCCGAGTCATGGCATTGACTCGCTGAGTTACTACATGAATGAGTCTGGCTTCCAACCCACCGAGTCACACTCTATGACTCACTACTCCAAACCGCAAACACGAAAAGGGGGAAAACTTAGGGACTCGCGACTCGACTCGCCGAGTCTGCCACATGCAAATACTATACACGCGATTTTGCTTGAATCCAGCCCATGCCATTCATAGATCTGAGTTCCTAGGGCCTAGTTTACACGTAAAGTTTCCAACTTTACGTGTAAATAAACACCCATGAGAGATTTAGGGCTCAAAATGCACCAAAAGAGTAGATCTAGGGCTTTCATGCACTATGGTTCCATAAAGGCAGTAGATCCAAGCTCCTGGAGCTCAATCATGCCTAGATCTAGAGGCTACACAACTTATCATCCACTCTAATACACAAACAAGCTTGGGGAAAGGCTCAAGACAGACTTTCATGGAGCTACAAGGGATAACAAGCATGAAAACAGAGGGAAAATGAGTTATACCTCAAGGAAATCACTGATATAACACCAATAAACCTGGCCTGCTTCTTCTCTTCTTGATCTACTCTCCTTCCTTCTCCAAATCTTCAAGAAACACACCAAAATACTTCAAACTCACAAGGAACAAGCTTAAACGAAGTATAAGGCTCTAGGGGGGGGGGGTGAAAGGGGCGAGCTTGGGGCGGATAAGAAGGCTTAAATAGGGTGCAAACCCTTAAAATTTAGGGTTTCATCAGACAACGGGGACTCGCCGAGTCGCCAACTTAAACGTGTTCCGGATCACGTCTCTACTCGGCGAGTCGGACCTACGACTCGCCGAGTCCAAGGCTAAAAATGAAGAAAACTAAGATGAATTTTTACGTACCAGGAACCAGGTGCTACAAAAAGGATTGCAAAAGTGTAAGAGATCATTGATACTTTCTATAGTTCCCTTCTATATTTTATGTATTATGCTTCCTGATCAAATATTTTGGAAAAAAAACCCTTCCCAACCCATGCAAAGCATGGTTCCTTCCCTAGTTGTAATTAAACATTTAGAAACTTAAGCAGATATAGATTGTGTTTGGCTGAAATGGTGAAATAGTAAAAAATACATTGAGATTGAATGTCTCTATTAAAAATGTATATTCGAAGAGATGCAAAAGTACGTATTGTTCATAGTAAGTGGAGAACATTTATAAAGATTGTGAGTATTTAAAACTGAGAAAGTTATTAAGATTTAGACATAGATATGCGCATTAAAGCTTAATGAAATTAGTGGGTTTATAATAGAGTTATCTTATGTAATGAAAAATAAATCTAACTTAAGTTATCCTATATATTTGCTTGAGGGCAAACAAAAGCCAAGTGTGAAGTATTTTGATACGTGTTAAATTATACATATTTTAAGGGGCATTTTATATACTTTTCTAAGAATTTTATGAAACAAAATGTACTTAATTCATTATAAACTCGTGACCGGAGATGAACAGGCTGGTGTCCGCTTTATACATGATAGGATACTCCAATGAGATAATAGAGTTTTCCAAGTGACTTCTGAACAACGACAAATATTTCTTGGCTAAATCCTTGAAGACAGGTGCTAAAGAAAGGTAGGCGATTAAAGAACTTATACATCACGTATTTGTCTATAATTCAAATGCAGGTTGTGAAACAAGAAACAAATGTTGATGGTAGTGATCTTAGTTATTTAGAGTTGTTTTGTTTTTCAATTTGAATATAGAAGTAGATGAAGAGAATAAAAGCTCTCTTAGTGAAGAATTTTTTAGGATATTAGAGTATCCACATGTATTTAGAGTTCATGATTTGGTAATTTAAAGCTAAAGAAAAACAAAGTGAAATTAAGTATAAAGAATTTGAAGTAATCAATGATTTTGACTTTTTCTTCTTGGGATTAATGGTGTGTTTTATTGAAATGATACGGTTGAGGTGGGATAAAGATGAATGATTATATATATATATATATATATATATATATATATATATATATATATATATATATATATTAGTTAAATAAGAAAAAAGATAAATGAAATTAAATTGTGTAGAAAAGTCATTTTATATATATAGATCGGGACCAACTATATAAGTTTTAGAAACCACATGAATCATATTACAAAAATTAGTTAGGATTGAAGTTATGATTTTTGGTAAAATGGACCATTTATGTAATTTTATCTATATAAATTTCAAAAAATAAAATTATGAAGAAAAAAAAAACTTTATTTCATATTTTGCATTGATCTGGTCTCAGAGGCTAGACGTGGCGCTGTATTAATCATCCAAAAAAGAAATGAAACTAAAATACTAAATGAAAATGATGAGAAAACAAAACAAACAACCACCCAACACCATGGTGATACTACTACAACTTTAGCTGCCGCCGACTGCTGGTTCTCCGGCGACTGTTGAGTGAGCCGACGACATGTCTACTATGGCGCAGCTCGCTATCGTCACTGCCGCTTGTACTAATCTACATCAAACTTCCAAATGCTTCGGTTTTACCTTCCACATGGACGGCCACAAATTGGCCTCCGTCTTCACCAGCAGCAGCAGCCGTGATACCGCTACAATCAGGAGCAGAAAGAAAGCTCCTCTATTGGTCACTTGCTCTGTATCTAAGCCGTCGTCCTCCACCGAAATCAGGTAATTCGCTCTTCCACACACACTCACACTTATATGATGAGATGGATCGAATTGCTCTGTACGAATTGCACGTTTTGTGATCCTTGCTGGACCTTCAAACCTAGTGAAATGTTTACGAATTATTTTTGTGTTGGATTTTAAGATATTAGTTTCGATTCAGTTACTATAAGTTTGTGAAGTAAAAGAAAACCCTCCCTGAATTCTTGAGTTCTTGCAAACATTAATCAATCAAATTCAAATTGTTGGTTTGTTTGATCTTCAGTTCAACAGCCAGGATCAGGAGTGAAGTTCTTACTCCTTTCAGATCAGTGAGGATGTTTTTCTATATCGCTTTCATTGCACAAGCTTCTCTTGGTGGACTGATAGCCACCACACAACTCATTGGTGCTCTGGCTAATCCTTCAAGAGCAGATTCAGTGATTGATATTGCCAAAGGCCTAGGCATAGACATAGGCGCTGCATCTCTCTTTGCATTCCTATATTACAGAGAGAACAAAATCAAGAACGCCCAAATGGCCAGGCTCTCAAGAGAAGAAAACCTCTCAAACCTTAAACTGCGTGTAGATGAAAAGAAGACAATTACTGTTAGTGAACTTAGAGGATTTGCACGTCTTGTGATCCTTGCTGGACCTTCATCCTTCATTACAGAGGCCTTCAAACTTAGTGAAACATTTACTGAACAACTCATAGAAAGAGGGGTGCTTGTTGTGCCTCTTTCAACAGATGGAAACGTACCTACTTTTGAGTTTGATGAGACTCAAGAAATGACGGAGTTAACAAACAAAAGAAGACGACTCTGGCAGCTTCTACCTCTTCTTACACCAGAATGGTCCGAGTAAGTGCCTTAACTTAACTTTTTTTTTTAAAAAAAATATTATTTTCTCATATGGTAAACATTTTTTGCATACTCCAGGTGGCTAGACGATCAGAAAAAACTGGCCAATGTATCACCTGAATCTCCTGTGTAAGCCTTTTTTTTTTTTATATATAATTATTTATGAATATTGCATGCACAAGTTAATTGTTGTTTTTTCACGTTCACAAATGACAAGAAGAATTCATAAAATTGGTGAATTTGAAGGTATTTATCTCTACGAATGGATGGTCGTGTTCGTGGGAGTGGTGTGGGGTACCCACCTTGGAATGCTTTTGTAGCACAGTTACCTCCAGTAAAAGGAATGTGGTCTGGACTTCTTGATGGAATGGATGGAAGAGTTCTTTGAAAATTCATTTACTATTATTACTTCTCAAATTTATCAAGGTTTGACTCATCTTCAGCAATGCCCTCAATTAAATTACTATTTTACTTTCATTCATCAGACCATCTATTCCAATACTATTTAATTATCTCCATTTGTTGCTCCGATTTACTTCACTGAAGCCAACAAATGGGTGATTCATCTTATCAATCATCATAGTCAAGGTTGATTTCAAGTAGACAACTCTCATAGTCTCATTCATTCATTTGATGGTGTTTATTTTGCAGAAATTCAAGTCTTTGGAGAGCCAGAGCAGATAACAAGATGAAAGTATGCACACAAACACAACAGCTTTGTCAATTAAAAGAGAGATATCAACTAATTTCTCAGAATGTGGTTTTTGTATAGCGTATATAGAATTTTCTACAACTTTTCTTATATTGAAACTACTTTTATCATACTAACGGTTCACATAACAATATATCTTTCTTTATCATATGTTCATTGAAATAAATATTATATAGAAGTCTTGTAACCCTTAATTAAGTGCTATAACTATAACTATATATATATATATATATATATATATATATATATATATATATATATATATATATATATATATATATATATATATATATATATATATATATGCATGATGATATTTTATGATCGAAGCAAAGGGATCGCAAACAATATATTTGATCAAATTTAGGCACTCGAGGAACTGAGAAACTATTTTTACAAATTCATTGGCAAAAAAAGACTGAAATAAAAGGAATTGTAGAATGACACATGCACAAGAAGCTCATCTAAACTTCCTTGATCTCATCCAATGCATAGTTGTTTGTGGAAACATTTGCATAATTGACTTTGTTGAACCTCACAACAACTGGATAGCGACTCTTTGGATCCTGCACATCACATTAATTATACTCTATCAGCAATTCAACATCAACAACCACTTTTGCACAAAAAAATAAAAACGAAGAAAAAAAAAGCTTTACCTGATCAACGGTCACAACTGAGCCTACACCTTTAAACCAGTAGGACTCCTTCCGGAGGATTCTCACCTGAAATTGTTTTGGATAATAGTTAATATTTGTAGGAACGAAAAAAGTTAGGTTAATTTTGGCTTTTGTGGAGTAATTACCTTGGCCCCTCTCTTGGGACCAATCGGAGGTGGCTTTGGTGCAGCTTCAGTGGTGGCAGCCGGTGGTGCCGCCTCCTCGGCAGCCTTTACAACCACCAGTCTGGAAGACTTGGTGTTCTTGGAGTTGGATGAAAACTTAACCATGGTGCACTTCGCCATGGTTGTGTTGGAGGTTACATTTGGTGCCACCACGAATCCAGTAGCAGCAGATGCCATGTTGCAGCTTGACATTTTCTTTCTCTAAACAGGTATGAATATTGAAGTGAATACTGCTTCTTTTTTTCTTTTTCTTCGTTTCTCGAGTTGTTTTGGTGATGATGAACAATTTTAACTAATTGAAATTCAGTGGCTTTTTAGTTAATTTTGGGGGATCTTTTTCTTGGAGGATATCAGTGATTGGAAGTAGACTCAATGCTCTACCCAGTTAAGTATTGCCACATGGACATCCATATCCGTTGTAAGGATAATGTTATCCCACATCATTTCCTTTTTAGTCTAGCTACCCTTTTGTGTATTTATTTTTTGTAATTTAATTTTTGTAATTTATTTCCTTTTTAGTCTAGCTACCCTTGTGTGTATTTATTTTTTGTAATTTAATTTTCAAGAATCGATTATAATTAGACACGTAACCTAAATTACCTAATTATTCTTATCACCAAAGTCAGTTTTATGTAAGTGGCTTTATTATTTGATGATTATAAGTTTAAAAAATAGTTAATAGAAAACACATATTTAAAATTAAAAATTACCTTTATAAAAGAATTGTTGAGAGTGGGATTTGAACCCACGCCCTTTCGGACCAGAACCTTAATCTGGCGCCTTAGACCAACTCGGCCATCTCAACAGATGACACCGCTCTTACAATTAAATTACATATACAATAAACATGGTGGTCTCTCAACTTGCTCACAAAGTCACATCCAACCTACCTTTGGTTGCAATGCAGTCACGCTGAAGCTGCACTGCTGCAGCCTGCATCCTTAAGTTTGAAAGAAAATTTGTCGGATTTATAATAAATGCTCTCGAATTTGAAAGAAAGCAAAATTTAATATGTTTTTCGTCATGCTTTTAAAATTGAAAGAGCTATAAATTATAACAAATATTCTTTATATGTTCTTGAGTTTTAAAGAAACGAAAATATCATTGCTTTCGTGTTGGAAAGGAAGAGCAAAAAAAAAAATGAAAATTAACCTGAGGGTAATCAATTATCAATATTGTTTTTTTTTTTTTTTTATATTATTGACCATTAAACTTTTATTTTGTATTTAAATTATGTTTTTATGGCCGGTTGTAATAAGTTAACGTTTAATTGACAAGTTGACATATATGTATCATCTACGTTAGGGATGAGCAAAAGAACCGAACCGGTCGGAACCGGGAACCGGCTTCGGCCAAAATCAAGAACCGAACCGGCCCGACGGTTCTATCGGTTCCGGTTCTACCGGTTCCCGGTTCCTATCGGTTCTTGTCGCGTCTTCAAATGTTGGAACCGATCATTGAAAAATAGCATAATACGGTTCCGGTTTTTGTCGGTTCTACCGGTTCCGGTTATATCGGTTCCTACTGGTTCCCGGTTCCAAAAATCCACAAAAATAACGTCCCGGTCCTGGCCCGACCGGTTCCATCGGGTTCCGGTTTCGGCCGGTTCCCCGGTCCATTTGCTCATCCCGAATCTACGTGATATATGAGATTGAGAAAATTACTTAAGAGGATAAATGACTGTCATCTTTTTTACATTTGATTTTTTTTTTTTGTACACAACTAACCATTAAACTCTCATTTTGTATTCAAATTATGCCTCACAATAACCATATTATTGGTTTCATCTCTTCATATCTTAGAATACAACCGTTACAGCCAAACCCTCACATATTATTGTCAATCATAAGGGTATACTTTGAACACGAAATATGAGTTTAATGGTCAATGATGTATAAAAAGAGATCACATATGAACAAGAATGACAATTGATTACCTTTTTAAGTCATTTTCCCAATTTCATGTCACATAGATGTTATGCATATGCCAATTGAGCATTAACCTACTACAATCCATCTTAATGGTATAATTTGAACACAAATAAAAGTTTAATGGTCAATAATGTAAAAAAAATGACAAAATGTAAAATACTAATTGGTTAACCTTGTAAGCCATTTTCCCTTCCAAAAAACATATGGAGGTGAATTAGCTCCTCGGAGAAATGAATTATGGCCATATTTTTATTTTTTTTTTGATATTTTAATAAGATTGTTCTTTAATATAAAAAAAAAATTAAAATGCAATGATGTAATATAAATGAATTATGAAAATCCGATGTTATAACGAATAAATGAAAGTATGTTGGTATTTCTTGCTTTTAATATATACCTTAAAATATTTTTACTTTGAAAGTTGAGTCTTTTTGTATTTATAATGTTGGTAGTGAAAAGAAATACTTGAATTAAGTTACTTATAATTTTGAGTTTATATAATATTAAAGTGTGCTTATCAAGAGTTCAGATTGAAAACTCTACATATCTTGTTATTGCAAGTACAATATACATATCAAGACATTGGAATTGCATGTATGGTAAGATCAAATAGACATCCAATTTATAATTTGTGTCGTCAAAAACAAACATTATAAATACATGAAGACTACCTTAAAGTAAGCAAGTTTCAAAAATAATTTCACTAAATATAACAATGTTTGTTCGTGCACCCACATTAAATTTCTAAAATTTAATAGCAATGATGAACAATGAAGTCAGCCAAACGGCGAATCTACTAAAATAAGAAGCATCAGTCTATCTTGCCAGGTTTGGTTCTCCAAAGGACACGTAGACGAGTAAGAACACACATGGATGCATAAAGAGAGACAACAAATGTGTATTGTGTATATGAACACAAAAACTCTCATGTCCATCAAATTTTTGCTTCTCCAACACTATAAAGAGGTTTTAGTGTCTAAAGTCCAATAGTTTCTTCATAGGGCTTCAAAGTTTTTCACAATTTCCATGAGTTTTTTTGGAATCATCGTCCACTAATCGCCTACAGTTATAAGCAAACTCAATACTTCATCAAACAATTGATAACATCAGAAATAATGACAGCTTATCATTTATTCTTAAGTCCCAGTTAACCAACTGGCATCTAAATCTAACTATTTGTAAAAAAAATGTTAAAAATAATGACTACTTAATCTTTAACCTCGAATGAAAGTTGCCAAAAAAAAAAAACTTTGAAATCCATACAAAGGAAAGTTTGAAATTCTTAATGATGGGAAATTATTGTCAAAGTGTTTATATTATTTCTTAGTATTATATATCTAGATGTAGTATTTAACTATTTATTAACACTTTGAAAAAGAGTTTGAAAAAGAGATATATTATTGAGTTTATTTCCACCTTAGATATTGAAAAAGAGTTTGAAAAAGAGATATATTATTGAGTTTATTTCCACTGTAGATATTAATAAGTGAAGTTTTTTAAATTTGTTTTTTATACTAATAAAAAATTAACATAATAAAACTCATTAAAACTTTAAATATTTTAATAAATAGATATTTTTAAGTTATTTTTGTTAGAATAAATTAAACTGTAAGTTTTTTTTAAAAGATGTATATTATTAAAAGTCACATTAAAATGGGAAAAAAAGTAATAAATGATGACAAAATGTAGAAATAACATTCTTTAAAAATGGTTCCCTCCATTAGACTAAACAATTTTTTTTCATGGAATTAACCATTCAGATTCTTTCCTAGTTCTATCACCAAAATGATATGATTAAGTGCAAGAGTTTCAACCTCACTTGACACCAGATTGAAATGCTTGTGTAAGTAAAACCATGTTGATTAATGTATGTGTATGTGAAATGGTTAGATTGATGGATGTTGATGTATAAAAAATTATTAGCTTATCGAATGGTATGGTGTATTCTAGGTTTGAGCACATAGGACCAATACTCGATCTCAAACGGGTCCCGACCAATATCTATTAAGCATATATGGTCTGACATTGTTCTATGATTTTGGAGAAAATGGTATTCACTTCCGGTACCATGGAAAACCCTGGAAAAAAATGGGCTTGAATGTAAGCATGATATGTTTCAATTATGGACATTGCCATCCATTCAAGCTTGATTTTCAACCGGAACAACGCTTCAATGCGTAGATTCTTGAGGATAAAGGTTGTAGAACGTTGTAGATTGAGGTTGCATAGCAGAAGAGGACTAAGGCTTTAGCTTCGATTCTAAACAGCTACAACTTCCGTTCATCTAGTTTGTTTTGGAAAGAAAGTTTGTATGTTTATGGTCGACTTATGTCGTTGATGTCGTGAACTTAGCTTGATTACTTAAACCAAGTGAACAACTTTAAATTTGTATGTTCTTGTTTAATATGTTGAATCTCTAATCGTCTCGATAATTGTGTTTGTGAGCGTTTTTGGAAGTCTTTAATCCTAACAATAGAGATAAATGTCCAAATAATTAAAAGGTCTTAGGATGAAAGTAGAAAAAAAATTAATAGCAATTTTTGAATAAAATAAAACTTTATTATCTTCTTTAAACAATGTATGTCGGTGTTTAAAAAAAAGGACTTAAGTTTTTATAAGACGTGACAATTGTGTTTTTTAAACAACTTTACAAAAATTATATAATTTGTAAATATTTTTGCGGAAAATCAACAGAAAAGCCTTAATTTTTTTGAAAAAATTTCAATAAAATTCTAACTTTTTTTTTTCAAACAGAAAAGTCTTATTATTTTTAGAAAATAATATAATCCGTCATTTGCTGATTAAATATTAAAAAAAATTATTAATTTGGACAAAATGTTAAATAATTAATATCATTTTAGTAAAAAAAAACTTTTAAAACTTTATTAAAATTTTTTCAAAAAATCTATTCTTAATAAAAGACTCTTTATTTGTCCACATATCAAACTTTTACAACTATGGTTTGCCATGTGGCAAAATATCAATACATTTTACTAATAAATTTCCCGCTCATATATTTCTTCTTTGATTGATTTAATGAAATTGGTAAATATCCCTTAATATAAGGAATTCAATTCAATTTAATCCCTAAAATTGTGCTTCTGTTTTGTTTTTGAAAGTTACTCTCTACGCACCAATATATTCTAATATATAATATCCTTGAAAAACAGAAACTATATTTAAAATTTAATTATCTTATATCACATACGAATATATCCTTGAAAGCTACTCTCCGATGAACATATATTTCTCATTTTGGTAGAAATTAAACTCATTTTATCCTCTTATCAAATAAAATTGATAATAACATTTAAAATAACCCACAATACGTATATGGTCTTTGTTTCACAAAATGAAATTACATATACGGTCCCTTTAAAACAACCCACAATGCGTATATGGTCTTTGTTTCACAAAATAAAATTGATAACAACATTTAGCATAAAATCGACTTCCACTTTCTTTGTTTGACAACAATATACAAATTTTATTTTAATTGTATATTAATTTTTTTTCTTTTTTGTTATAAGGATAAATTTGTCTTTTTCAACTTAACATGCAAAAATAAAAATACAACTTAACATCATCTAACACATGTTATTATATTAATAATTATGCTATAATATAATTAAAATTATTTTTAAATTTCTTATCCGTGATG